ATCTTCAAGTTAGCTTACTAATTCTATAATAAAAGTGGTATGAATTTTAATATCTCACCAACACACTGTCCTTCCTAACATTTTGTTTTGCACAGGAAGAACACTTAATTATTGGAATTAAAGAAAAATAAAGGCACTAAAATAAACAGTTATTAAAGATGCAAAATAACCCCTCTGAACTTACCCAGTCCAAAGTTTTTGTTGGTGCTGTGGCACCACCTTGTGGTCAAAATGAGGAAATCCCATCTGTCAAAATAAAAGTCCTGTTTTATCTGTTGAGGCATGAATAACCTTCACCCTCCTTTCCTCCTCATCTTCACCTGCTATCATGAATGGATTTCCCTTTTAAATTTTAGACTAGCCAACCTTAAGTTTTGATTTTGTAAGCTTTTCTAACAGTATGTTTGGTTGACGTTTTGTTTAATTGTTGGATTTGAACTGACAAACAAACACTGCTTCTATATTGGGGGGAAAGAAAAAAATAGTCCGATTATGTTGTGCCTCGAGCACACATCTTAAAAGGACATGTTTGCAGGCACTGCAGTGCGGAAACTTGTTGCCGTGACGGATGGGAACAGTGGAGGGAAAGAAATCCTCACTGTGTAAACAGGAGTTCGGGAAACAGCCACCCAGTTGTTTTTCTTATGCTGCTGGATGCGAACGCTGATTCCCTCATGATATTACATACCATTCCATTTAGAGCCTAGAGACAAGTAACTCTTCCTATTGGGGACAAGAATATTTACATGATGATGTGTAATGCTGCAAAATTGTGCCAAATGATCTCCTGATAAAAAAATGAAATCAGGTACACTCATAATAAAAGAACAGATTTTTCCTGCACTACATAAATAGTTGTATTACTGTTCACGTGTCTAACAGCAAATTATCTAATGAACCATAAGAAAATATTGGTTAGGTAAAATAACATGCTGAATGCTAACAGATCTTGTGAGCTTTTTGTTCAAAACTTTGCCYTGTAAGGCAGCAGGTGATGTGCAGTTCAAATAGGATTGCTTGGCCTTTAATCCTCACATTGTTCTTTTTATTAATAAATTAAGTTTTTAAGTTGCAGTTAATGCTGTGTACATATCAAYAATGACGAAAATGTGCACTTCTGTTTTACTGACTAATAATCAGGTTTTAATTTGGGTTTATCTTTGTTTTAATGAAGGGTAAACACCCAGGACTTTGTAAAACTGCACCAGAGATGGAACCAGAAGCTAAAGATCTGGACGACAGTGATAACTTGTTCCCTTGGTCGGGCTCAGATGGTTTTCAGGGACTTGGTGCCTCTGAGCCTTTGGCAGAGTCCTATGATGAAGATGATGACAGACAATCAGAGTTTCCTTCGGACCCACACAACCTACATATCTCCAGGTCTGACCCTGAGTCTCCAGAGTGCCTTCAGTTACGAGACTGGGAATCAGCGAAAGACCAAGACTTCCTACCAGAACAGAGTGAGAGTGAGGCGTCCGTCTCTTGCCAGGGACAGGATGACATCTACCTAAACGAATCCAGAGAGTCATTTACAGAATCTCCTCACATCCAAGTCTCGCAAACATCAACACCTTCACCCCCCGAGCTCCGAGACTCCGAGCAGTGCACCGGCGAGATTTCATGGCTGCATTCCCACCCTTCCTCCTCCTCCTCCTCCTCTCTTGGCAGTGCTGCTGACATGACCCGGGCCTTGACCCTGAGCACGGAACAGGCCCAGGGAACCGGTGAGAGGCAGGGCCCTGGGACCAGGAGCAGGAGGGTCGAATCTTCAGAGGAAGGAGGGAGTGGTGAAGCACCTCCTGCTTCTGTCTTCTTTGGAATTTCAGATGAGGGTGCTGAGCAGGCAGAGAGAAGAAACTTGGGTTTTGACGGAGACCTCTGTAGAGCAAACAGGCAAAAGCCAAGGCACACATGTAAGTACCTTCAACCTTATTTATTTGCTTATTTATGTCCAGACTGTGCAGTTTCCAGTAGTAATTTAAAAGGATTATGTGACTTATGGACACATTAGACATCATTTATAACCAAGACAGAAATCAACTTTAGATTTAAAATAAAGTGTTTTTCTGCTCATGTTTATTTTGTGACAAATAGATTTGACTGGCTGAATAACTTGTGGTTAACACAACTGGGTKCAGTTATTTTCATGCAGTTACGTGGGGTCTTTTTGAGGTGGACTTAGAGGGAGAATTCCCACGGCTTTATTAGTCCAAGCAGGATAAGAATAAAACAGGACCATATGGTGAGGCTGGCAGAAGCAGATTTGACAGACACCAACATGTGTCTCCCTCTCTGGACGGTCATTCGATCCCTTTTCCAACCGTAAGACTTGACTGCAATGGAAAGTGAGCTCCCTCACTTTCATTCCCTTACAGATCCCTCATGGGTTAGCTGTAAGTAAATCTGATGCTTTTATTAGTGTGCTTGCTTCAGCAAGCGGGAGCTCAAAATTGATTTTGCTTGTCATGCTGAGTTCTAATAAGAATACAAATCAAACCTTTTGATATTTTTGTGAAGCACTTTTGTCGTTTTAATTGACTAAATGATTTTCAGTGATGATGATGTAATGTCTGCCAAAAGTAGTTTTCTATGTTTTGTTGCTCAACCCCCATGCTTCCTTTCTGTTCTTTCCTCTGTGTTGTCTTTTGTCTCAGGCCTTGGCCATAAAGAGAGCCAGTCAGAGAGACATGTGAAGGAGACCAAGTCTAAATGTAAGAGAATTGCACAGCTCCTGGCCAAYGCACCCAACCCCCAAAACAAGGGAGCTGTGCTGTTCAAAAAACGCCGCCAGAGAGTCAAGAAGTACACCCTTGTGAGTTACGGAACTGGTGTTCACACCCTCAACAGCTTCGATCCAACAGGAGGGGAACCTGACAACATTGGCTCAGCTAGATACAACTTTGTGGCTTCAAGTGATTCCGAACTTGAGGAGCAGTATTCTCTTTATCACCAGCAGCGTCACTTAAGTTTGAACTGGGGAAGTGTGCAGGAAATGGAAGAGCTGCCAGACGCAAAAGGGAAAGGAGTCATGATGTTCGCTCAGCGACGCAAACGGATGGATGACCTCGTGTCAGAGCATGAAGTGATGACTGAAATGACCGTACAAGAATCGCACATTTCGAGGTCGCAGAATGTTTACGACAGGGAAATGTACGTGCAATCGGATTTAGACATTGATGAAGATCTTCAGCAGATGAACCACCACTCCAGTGTGCCAAAACCTTTAGTGCCCAACAGGACCGCAAAACCTTTCTTGGGATTCCAAGATGGCTCAGCTGCTGCAGCTGCAGACACGTCTGTTCCTGCCACAAAGATGCATGAGCCAAAATTCAAAGTGCCTGTACCGATAAATACTAACCCAAAGGTTTGGTCACCAACTGGAGACATTATAGCCTCAAGAGATGAGCGAATATCTGTGCCTGCAATCAAGACGGGCATCCTACCAGAGTCCAAACGGAAAAGTGCCAATAAGCAGCCATCAAAGTCAAGACAAGAATTGGARCTTCACGTTCAGAACAAAGGGGATAGGAAGTCTTATATTGAGTCAGAAGAAGACTGTTTCAGTTTGGGTGCTGAGGCTTGTAATTTCATGCAACCCAGAACGATAAAACTCAAGAATCCACCTCCAGTTGCCCCGAAACCAACCATCAACCCTGCCTTCCCACCTTGGATGATGACGGGTTCCTCAAGTGAGCCCATTAACCCTTCAAGAAGCCCGGTGTCACAACCCTCGCACAGTCCTGTCAGGCCCCACAGTCAGCAATATTTACAGCAGCAAGACTGGGCTCAGCCTCTGCAGATGGACAGCCATCGGGCACCAGATCAAACGCAGGCAACACTTCAATCAGCTGGCAAAGCCTGGGTTCCGATCAATTCCTCTCCTCAGCTTCATCTTCAGCCAACCACAAATAGCTGGAGTCAGCAGGCGTCACAGTCCCCTGTGAGTATGCAGGCCCGTAGTCCTACTTATAGCCCACATTTACCCTCAGCGAATAAGTCAGACAGTGCTCCACCACATGCAGGGAAATCGTATGTCCCACAAGTTTCTCCAAAGGGAAGAGTTCCAGACAGAGGTGCTGATCAGGCTGGTGAGGGTTCAGCCATGGCAGGAAAAGGTGCAAAATTGTTTGCCAAAAGACAGTCACGGATGGAGAAGTTTGTCATTGATGCTGACACAGTGCGAGCTAATAAAACAAGATCCCCCTCACCTACCTTGTCCCTACCCAACTCTTGGAGGTATTCATCCAATATCCGCTCCCCACCTCCTGTGTCATATAATCCTCTTCTGTCCCCTTTCCATCCCCAATCTGCATCCAAACAACCCCCTTCCACAAGCCCCCAAATCAAGCCCAAACCCAAAGAGAAACCTAAATCTGCCCCCAAGCAACTTAATGCTTTAGATATTATGAAACATCAGCCCTACCAGTTGGACTCGTCACTGTTCACATATGACGCAACCTCTGAGGCCAAAAGCCCGAGCCCAAAACCAGCCCCCGTGTCAAAGTTTGAAGTTACCAAAAACCTTAAACAAAGATCTGCCTCCTCCCATTCACATATTCCCTCTGAGCCTGCTGCTCAGAGAAAAACAGAGGCGCCTGCTAAGTCTTCTGAATTGGTAAGTTTCCCAAAGCCCTCCACCAAGAGCACAGGCGCAGCCGAGCCACCTTTAGCCGACAAGCGTTTGGATGAAAAGCTCGCTGACACCACYGCAGCACATCATGCGAGCGACAAGAAAGCACCTAGCGCCCGGCCTGCACGCACATCCTCTCAGCACCCATCTCTTGGTGAAAGCATCGCTTCAGCTTTTTCTCCTGCAGCTCTTATTGCTAGAGGCGTGCGCAAAATGGCTCCCTGGCCAAAGTTTTCTGCTAAGAAATCGGAGGTGGCAGGAAAACAGTGGAAGCCTGTTGCTATGCTTCCTTCAGTCTAACTCTGTACATGGTCATGCTGCAGGGTAGTGTGAGACGCTGATTAAATCGTTACGCCTGTGACTTGGAGGCTTTTGAAATGTCTTAACAGGTGGAAAAACAAACTTTTGCACAAAATGTAGGTAGTTTTTAGCAGGATGCAGCTATTAGATAAATGTAAAACTGTACAAACTGTGATCCATTTAAATCCATTTGATTATTATGGCGTATTTTCACAAGAAAAAAAATCTCAGGACACTGATTAAGCAGAAAAATAGGACAAATAATTTAAAATAAATGGTATCATTTTCAAAGGTAAACTCTCAAAGCAAGAGAAAGAGGATAAAATAATGTTTATTGATTCTCAGGAAGTGCCTTTAAATGTGTAATAAAGTCTGCAGAGAGGCTTGTTCAGACATTGCCTTTTGTCTTTAGTTAGTTTCTACATTCTTTTTGTGAAAAATACCAGTAATAACAATTGATTCCCTATACAAAACAAATAATAGTTTATATAAATTMTTAGGTATTTAAAACTCAGGTTATTCAAAAAAATTGAGATTGGGGATAAAAATATAGCTGAGGACCTTTAATCATTTATTAGATTTGAAGTAAAAACTGTCTACACATTTCATTTGTGTGCACATAATTTTTGATTTCTTCAGTCTCATTCCAGACTTTACAAATGAGAGCATCGTTATTGTGAGAAAGAAACTCAAAGACTCGAAAATAGATCTAATGTGGACACATTTTCTACAGCTGTCATGGACAGTTTTTCTGATTGTCAGAAGAGTCATCAGATATTTTGTATCCACACAAACTAACAATCATTTAAATGTTTTATCACTCACTGAAATGATTACAGATGACTCAGGACAAAACAGGGAAAACAGCTGTCTTTTTCTGTCCCTGTGTTTTGTGTTCACCTGATTTTCTTTTTGTTGTTGTTTGTTGAACTTCTTGTTCTGAGCACTGTCTTGCTATTAAATTTCTTTTTCTTCCTACTCATGTTGTTTTGTGTCTCACAAACTTTTTACCTTTTTTGTCTGACAGATGCTTTGATCGGCCTGTTCTTCCTCCTTTATTTGCCCTCACCACTTGACACTTTTTGCAACATGCTCACACTTTTCTTAGTCACTGGCTCTTCAAAGTTTTGTTTGAATGCTCACATGTGTCAGAGAGAGAGAGAGAGAGAGAGAGAGAGAGAGAGAGAGAGAGAGAGAGAGAGAGAGAATGCAGCACTGCACCTTTAAGTATGAAAGAGAACAGTTTGGAACTATGATCTTGGCATTTTATGGATTTTTCAACATATTTCTGTGGTTACATGGTTGCCTTTATTTCTTAAGAAGAATCCACTTTTAAAATGATTAGAATTTCCCTGTCAAGTAGTTTTATGCCAACATAATCCTGTTGCTCATAATACAAACTTGCTGGAACATTTTGTACAAAACTTCTAATGAACCTTGCAACCTCCACTCCATATAACATTTTAAACAAATAGTTAATTCATTTGGAAGTGGGGTTCTGTATATTTCACAAATACCGTACCTGTTGTACATAGGTCTTTAAACAACCTAATTAAAACACAAAACCAAACAGAGTTTATTTGTGACTGTCTATGAGCTAATGGGCAAGAAGACCAAAAAGGACTGCTACCATCTTTATAAAGCTGCTTTCAAAGATTTTACGACTGATAAATTCAATGTTTATAGTCAATTTTACAAAAGACACACCCATTGTGAGTATTTAAATAAAGAATAATATGAATCTGGTATTTACCAGGGAGTAAAATACCTCATACACACATGTAGTAAACCAGTGTTTTTCAACCCAGGTCCTCAAGGCACATTGCCCTGCATGTTAGATGTTTCCCTGCTTCAACGCAGCTGTTTTCAATTGATAACTGATTAAAAGGCGTTTGATTAACTGCAATCATCTGAATCAGRTGTGTTAKAGCAGGGATACCTCTAAAACGTGCAGGGCAGTGTGCCTTGAGGACCAGGGTTGAAAAACACTGTAGTAGACAATATCAAGCCTTTTTAGAAATACCTAAATCTCTGGAGTGTTTTATAGTCATGTAAAGATGTTTTTAACATGTTTCAGGTTGCAGGAGAGCAAATAAATTTGCCAAATGAATAGTTCCAAACCATGTCTTTTCATGTTACATAACATTTCAGATGCATAAACCAGCAGCAGGTAAGTTCTGAAATCTATCTCTTACATTTGTCATTATTGTAAAAAAGTACATAAAATAAACCTCAGAATCTTGAAATTTGTCTTATTTTACTCTGATAAATGCAAATAATTCTAATGGAAAACTCAAGTCTGATGTAAAAATCAGGCTTTTCAAAACATATTGTCAAAGTTAATGTGGCCAAAATAACATTTTACACAACAAAAACGAAACTTTTAAGATTAGAAATATTGCATTTTTTGTAAAAACAACTTTTTTCCATTTTTATTTTGAAATGCCTAACACAGTATCAGAATCAGAATTAGAATCAGAATTGCCTTTATTGTCATTTAAATTTGCATTACAATAAATGAATTGGGTTTGCTGCTCCAAGGTGCTTGTTTTTTTTAGACACAATAAAATAACTTTAGGAAAGTTGACAATACAATAAAGTTATAATCAAATACAAAAAGGTGCACTATTAAAAATAGAGAAATTAAAGAGTTTCTATATATAGAGATGAAGAATAGGGAAATTTTGCAGTTTATTCTTCCTCATGASAAAAACGATCATGCATTTGTTTGCATTCTTAATGTCATCTTAACCAAGTAGTAATAAAACCTAATGAAGTTATACAACTTGAAGTGGCTGAGGCTTCACCTGAGGATGGCAGCAAACTCATCAGTAAATGAACATGTGCTTTTTGTCTTAGGGCTTTGGCAGGAGCCGCTCTCTGAGCCTGCCTCAGCGGCTCAACTCGGCGCCGTCTCCTGGACTTTTATCACCTGTCAGTACACCTGGAATGCGGCCATCTTTTTTGCCTATGCAGAGGCAAACATCCGTTCAGAACAAAGCCCACAAGCCGTTATCGCCGTGGGAGGCAGCGTCAAGAAGCCCCCTCGGCTCCGTGGATGAAGCCTTCGTGTTCCTCAACCCCCCGGCTTCTAGTTTTGTCACTGCAGGACACCAAACAACTCTGCCAGAGCCTCCAGACGACTGGAAGCGCAGGGTGTCTCTCGACCCGCCAGCTGGGACTAGGGGTCATTATCACCACTTGGCCCCAACGTTTCAGGCAAYGTCCACAAGCAGGATGTTTTCTCCTGAGAAACCAGCTTTTTCAGGGCCTCCATTTAAACCTGCTCAGCCTTTTAAACCTGCCAGTGCTGCATTCAAAGGCACAAAGTTCATTTAGTTTTTCCTCACCTGTAAAATGCAGCTCAGACTTTAAGAAGACATTAGTATATATCAGATCTAGAGACACATTTTATCAACATGCATGTAGTTTATGGTGCTGAGATTGAAGCAAAGTTTATTTGACTGGTCAAAGCAAAGATAAACGATRGAACAAATCCTCATGTTTTAAATAGTTTGTGATGCCTCAACACAATMTGATGTAAAGAAAACAACTTATTGTATGGCTTCAAGGAAAACAAATGCAAAAATGCTTGTGAAAGTTTTTGATAAACAGAAAAGAACAATGGGAAAAGTGATTTCTTAGTTGGGTTCAAATGGTGAAAAAGAAAGATAGTTGTCTCATAAATCTTTTGGTTTTACAAAGACATTTTGCACAACACAGATTTTTAACATAAAATTTTTTTTTCATATTATTCACCCTTTTGAACAGTCCTTTTCAATAGTTTTTAAAAACGATTTCAAAGTAAAATTCCCATATTGATTTATTTGATATTATTAATGCAAGCTCCTTCGCTGTGACTCCTAACTTGCTATGGAGAGAGTGCTGAAAACTCATTGTTGCAGTTTGTTATCTAATATCAGCCAACTTAATTATCTCTTGGACTTATGTCTATTTCCCTTCAGTTTATCTGTGGTGCCTCACATTGTTACAGACAATTGAAGTTGCAAGTTGATAAAGTTGTAATTCTAACTACTAAACCACATGTGAGATTTCTGCATGAACACAAACTTACTCAAATGATTGTACTGTACTGTAGAGTAGAAGGAATGATTGTTACATTGTTGCATACATTGATGCACTATTGTGTGATGTTTACCTGCTTCACACAACATTTTTTAGAGTTTTTGTGTTAGGATGTTTTAACACTGGGATTTAACCCTGTGCAGATTTTTGTTTAGATGGTTTTCAGCACAAAATAAAGTTTAAATTACTTTTAGGTGTTTTTTTCACTTGTCATGTTTTCTGTTTTCTCCATTTATTTTTATGTTTTTGTTTCAATWAACTTTGTGGTGGTTCAAAAATAATACTATTAATCATAAAAAAGACTAAATTTATGTTCCTATCTGTGTCTGAACTAATGTTTTTGCTTTCTCACATCCTTTCATTTTCAATTTTTATTCGTGTCAGTGCCAACTTTAATCATCAGATGGCCAAGATTATTAARGGAGGGATATATAGATCTTGTGAAATGAGATTCTGTGGAAACGTAATGAACACATATTGTCTTACTTATAGATAGCTGTTTGAAAGGCCTCAGTTTTAGCAATAAATGCTGTGTGCCACAGCTAGCTGCAGCTATTTGCACTCATAGACAACCAACATCTTATGAAAACTAGAGAAATTACATTATCTGTGAAAATGCAGTGTGAATGCTGAGTGCTGAAAAACTGCTGGAGTTTGCTGAAGAAACTGAAACTGATCTGTTAAAGCTAAAATAAGTAAAATGTTAGTTAAATGCTAAAAGATACTAAATGCACAGTGACTAGTGATCCCCATGACCCTTAAAGGAAGAAGCAGGTAAAAGACGATGGATGGATGGATGGATGGATGGATGGATGGATGGATGGATGATGCAAAATGCAGTCTAAAGACCTAAAGTTTTGCAAAAAGCAGCAAAGCAGTAGCTCAAGTTAAAAGTAACAAAAAGTTAGCTGGAAGTTAAAAGCAAAAAATAAATAAAATAAAAATAAATAAAGCTAAAAGCTAAAGACAGAACATTAACTAAAAAGCCTAGCTAAAAGCTAAACGTATCAAACTAAAAACTAGCTATAGTCTATGTAAAAGTAACACAAGAACAGCTCAAAGTAAAAGTAACAAAAACAGTTACAAGTTTCAAATATAACAATAGATATAAGTAGAAAAAGCTTAGCTAAAACACTACAGTTGTTATGATTCTTGTCTGTGTTAGTGTTTTATTTTAGTTTCTGTCATGTTCCTGTTTTCTTCCTCCTGTCTGCCCTTGCTCCAGCCCCGCCCACTCACACCTGAKCCTCACGTTTCTCCCCCAGGTGTTCCCTGTTTGTGCTCATTAGTTTCACCTTTATATTCTGTCTCTTGTCTTCTCTTCCCTGTCGAGTCATTGTTTGTTTGGTTATGTTTGGTTGTAGTCTGTATTGTGCCTTGTCCTGCCTTGCCACGTCTCCCAGAGTTTGTTTTTTTTTTTGAGCTGCCCAGTCAGCACCTTTTTGTTTAATAAATTCTTTGTTTTTTCTGGAACCTTGCTCTGCCTGCATCATGGGTTCATTCCTGCCTGAGAACCTTAACAACAGTAGAACAACTGTAGTTTCAAAAATAGCATACAAAGACAAACATATAGCAATCATGTCAAAACATCTCAAAGAACAACTTTAATGGGATTAAATGGCATGTTTTACATTTTTGCATTTTTTTGCATTTCTATACAGAAAATCTTAAATGATGTAAATAAAGTTTAACATTTTGCAAAATATAACAATTACAAGTCATAGCACCCATCTCATGAATGAGCCTAATGTTTTAATTTAAGAATAAGTAAAATATCACAAAGTATGCAGTAAGTAATCTGATTGCAAAATCTGTGCAAAAGCAAAACAAAACAAAAAAAACAGGAAAGCAATAGGTTTATAAAACAGTGAGCAAGAAGCTGCTATTGATATTTTTAAGGTCAGAGTTGCTGGAGTTGATCCCACTTTAACTAGTCCTATGAATTATTAGACTTTATTTCTCTRAATGTTTGTTCAAAGACCTGTCTACAACAGGTAAGATATTAATTACTCATACTTTTTCCAAAGTTGAACCATCAGAGTGTGATTCTACACAATCTGATAGCCACCGGAAGACTAGAACCAGAGTTACAGAATGGTAACCTCAGGAGAACATTTGAACTCAAAGAYTCAAAACCAAGGAAACAAAACATTTCCTCGGTGGGACTCTAGAAGATCAGTTCATACAGGTTCCATCATCTCCTCTGCTTGCTATCCCTGCCCGTGTGGTCTCTGAGAGTGGGATTTGAGTGTTTGGCAGGTTAAATTTAGCCTATTGATGTAAGCTGCATTCCACTCACAACAGACACTGAGACACACACACACTCACAGTTTAGTTTTAGTGTCCAGGAGTGTGAAGATCAGGGAAGATCACACAACATACTGTGGGTTGACCCCTGAGCCTCTGTGTCTCCACGTCAAGGATACAGGTTGCACARCAGGGACACAATCGCAGGTATGGACGCGTCTCGTTAAGGAGTTATTATACGATCAGATGTTCAAGCTGCTTCTTTATTGACAAAATTAAATTTGGCTGCTTGTGCTGTTTGTGGCATCCAAAAACAAAAAGGATATACTTACAGAAACAGTATGGATTTGGCTTTCTTTAAACAGCACAAACATTTAATTTAAATAGAACGATGATAGCTTGACTTCTGCGCTTTGCACTGGAAAATATTTTTTCCTGATACCATCACTGTAAGTCAGCACAGTAAAGCCATGCATGAGTCATCCAGCGTTTAAATAAACTATATCACCTAACAGCAAGTTCTGCATCTGGCAAGTGAACAAAAAGTGTCAATAAAACATTTGACAGCACTGACCAAAGCTGTTTTTATGTGTTGACGTCTTTCTCTTTTCACAAGTGGACATTTGTCRTACCTATCAGCAAACAAACTCCCCTTTAAACCAAAATTTTAATCATAGAAACATTAAAGTAACATGTCACCAAAAAGAGCTTGCRTTCTTAGCACAAGCAGTAGGAGTTAGAGATTTTAAAATAAAACTCACTCGTGCTCTGAAGACATTCACAGAGTAATGATAAAGACTTCAGGTTGGAGTAAACTGACAAATATACAGATGAATAATTTCACGGGACACTCATTAAACAAACTTTTGAAATTTCAAATGATGCTGATTTTATGTGTACACCAACATGAAATGTGTTTTTCAGTCTGCCTAAATGCACACCTGCATCTATTCATTCTTTGAAGTCTACCTGATTTTTTTATTTTATCTTCATTTAACAAGGTAGTTGTTATTGAGATAAACAATATCTTTGTCAAGAGAGACCTGAACAAGAAATTGTGATTTAATATGGTCACCACAGTCAATCAATCTTAGCAACCACAAAAGTGGCTCGAACTTAGTCAGTTTTACAAATATTCAGCTGRAATTTGGTGTAGTAGTGGATGAGTGTGGTRYCTCACCTATAGYGTTTGTGCCCGCRGATTGTTCAAAATCTTTGTTAAAASTGCAGCATGAACTAYTGGAGTCAACTCTKCCTGCCTGTTACCAAAATACCTCTCAGTTATTGCACAGACTTCAAACTTTTAGAAAATGATGATTGGATGTTTATTTAAAACTGATTACCTTTTAGTTAACCTCATCCAAGATGGCTGTCAAAGCTCATGAATCGTAGCAAATGCAAAAATGGCTATAATTGTGGTATACTGTAGATGTGGTAGTAGCTAAAAGTCATCCTGAACAAACACTGCGAGGGTTAACAGCTATTTTTAGTGAGGTTTGTGTTTAAGACCTGCCAGACTAAAACCCTGCTGGAAGAGAGTAACTCATTCTGATCAGAGTTCAAAATGTCAGGGCTGCTCTCCAGGGCCGCCCAGGAATAAAATGGGATGATTTACCACTGAGGGGTGGCTAACCCTTTGTTCTTTTTCCTGAAGTCTATTTCTGGGTGGG